AAACTCTTCGTCACCGACTACTGCAGGGGAGACCAGGAACACTCACAGGAGTTCCTTGATTACGTCAAACGCAGAGGTAATGGGATGCATACACGAGAGAGAGAGGGGAGTGAGAGAAAGGTAATGGTCAAAAAGAGAGTGAGATAGAAAGAAAAAGAGAGGGACAGACGTGTGTGTGTAACTATGCATGTATGCATAGACAGACAGACTGAGTGAGAAAAGAAAGACAATGAAACCCATCCTCCCCTTCGCAGGATACGACCTGCGAACGGTGAAGGCGTACGGGAAGGTCCTGGAGGAGGCTGGCTTCAAGGACGTGCAGGCGGTGGACATGACGCCGACCTTCATCTCCGTGCTGCAGAATGAACTCAAGTACTTCGAACCGACACGCGATGCCTTCATACAGGTTATGTCAAGAGACGTTGCTATACATAGTATCTAATGAAAAAGACAAACATACATGACTGTCCCTTAGAATGTTTATTTCATCACATTTTATTTTATCTTCATGTACAGGATTACAGCGAGAAGGACTACAAGGAAATCGTGGATGGATGGAGACAGAAGTTGGTAAGGTGCAGTGCGGGCGACCAGGCCTGGGGTATGTTCCTGGCCACCAGGTAGAAGCGCCGCTGGGGCCACGGGCGATTCCACCGGGCCCTTGGCTACGACGAGGGCCTTTAACGGTGGCCCTTTCTGGGACATCATTTTATTCTTTCCTTATTGCATTATCCTTTACAAATTATTTCTATTTGAAGTAATATTTTGACCATTACCATAACCTTTATCATTATTAATTTTCCAGTCATTTACTTGGTATAAATGCAATGAATACTGCATAGTAAAAAAAAAAAAAAATGCAATCTGTTACCTAATTTATGTATTCTAATATTCAATGTATCTTCATGGTGCTGAAATTATGCCAAAATAAAGACTGGGAAACACATTTTCTTTGTTTCAAATCTTATTATGACAATGTTAATATAGATGCAGCGTATTTGCATTTACCTCAACCTCAACCATAAACGTTACGATCAGTCACGTTTGTTACTTCTATTTTCCTTCAACCCCCTTGTATCCCAGCTGAATTTCCGGGGTTTATGAAAGAACATAAAGCAAAGGTTATACACCACATATACACTCGAAAGCATAGCATTGCCAACATGATTGAACAGGGTCTATAACAGATGTCATTTAGCGATATAGAAATATAGCGATAAGGTGAAGAACTCACCTTATCGCTATATTTAAGGATTACCACGTTTATGAATTACTAGAATGCTTAATACCAAACATCGAAGGTCAAACGTTGCAGAGCACTGTAGATTAGTTAGGGTAGATTTGGCGATACGAAAACGGCCGCGTGCTTTTTGGTAAGAGATTATTTTGCACGAATATTCCATAACCTGGCGGTGCGTTTTGAGATACGAGGGTAATTTGGTATAAGGCAAATACCGGACCTTCAGGGGTAAGGGAGATGCCCCTTACTGAAGGAATTATCCACCCCGGCTGACCCATAACTTTTAAGTTCCTAAAACCGCAATTGTAAAGCACAAGCTACAAGTTTTACAGATTTCCCCCCAGGCTGCCCTGTCAAAATCCCTTACCCCTTTTGCCCCCATTCGTCAGTCTACGTGATATAATTGGTCTAAACATTCTGGGACATAAGGCAACTCCTGAAACTAATCTGCATTTGTGAAGGTTTGTTGGTGTGGCTGAGTTGGTGCCGCACGCGCGTTTCGTTCACCTATTTATCGATTGTGTGTGTGCGTGTGCAAGTGTGTACGTACGTGCGTGCGCGGTTGTGTGTGTGTTTTTCTGCGTGTGTATGTGTGTGTGTATGTGTGTGTGTGTGTTGTGTGTGTTTGTGTGTGTTGTGTTGTGTAAGTGTGTGTGTGGTGTGTTGTGTGTGTGTGTGTGTTTGTGTGTTGTGTGTGTGTGTGTGTGTGCGTGTTTGTGTGTGTGTTGCGTGTTTGTGTGTGTGTTGTGTGTGTGTGTGTGTGTGTGTGTGTGTGTGTGTGTGTGTGTGTGTGTGTATGTGTGTATGTATGTGTGTGTATGTGTGTGTATGTATGTGTGTGTATGTGTATGTGTGTGTGTATGTATGTGTGTGTATGTGTATGTGTGTATGTGTGTGTGTGTGTGTATGTGTGTGTATGTGTGTGTGTGTGTGTGTGTGTGTGTGTGTGTGTGTGTGTGTGTGTGTGTGTGTGTGTGTGTGTGTGTGTGTGTGTGTGTGTGTGTGTGTGTGTGTGTGTGTGTGAGTGCATGCGTTCGATCTTCTCGGGTGATGTGTGACGGTTATGATATCACAGTCGTTTCACTTCTTAAAAAAGCTTTTTAATGTAGCTACAAATATGAATAATACTGAATGATATATAAATCGCTCTGCTTAGAAACCTAATGAAGCAGACCCCATTAAAGATATGAAACACTTCGAAGGGCTAAGTGCCCAGTTCAGCGCCATCTTTGAATTTTCCGTGAACTTGTTTTTTGTCTCATTTCAAAATAGAAGAGCACAATCCCCAGTCATAATCATAACAAGTAAACACCTCCATAAATAACATGCACCAGCTCCAGGTCAGAAGACCTCAGGAGTGAGGACTGGTATCAAATACATTATACTGTAGTTCGTCCAACCCTTATCAAAGACTCCAACGCGATGGCAAAGTTTACTCTCCGAGAGCGAGCCTCAGCGAGGGTGCGAACTGCGAGGACTTGACTCACTTGAGTTCGAACTTTTGAATCTTTGATGACTTTTCAGTGTGTGGCTGACAGTCAGGGGCGGCAGAACGAAGGGTGTTTAGAGGAATGGAGAAGAAGGGACATTAATGACGCAAAAGTAACATCCCCTGTCGCGGTCTAAGTGAGTAAAGGCACACGCCATCACGAGTTAATAACTCGCCCTGGGTAATTCTTTACGGTACAGACTCACTCGCCAGAAACTAAGTCCCCAACTCCACCCAACAATCTTGGGGGACACGTGAGGGAACGTTTTTTTTTTTGGGGGGGGGCGGTAAAGAGTGGGCTCAGCCTGATTTCAGTGTCAGTACATGACTAAAGTTAATTATGAATGCAATGAAATGCAACTTTCCGAAATGCGAGCCAAAATATACATTTTCTAAAATCGAAGAAATACGACTTTTCCGAAATACGAGTGTCCGATTATGCCGTCATATTTGAATTTATGAAAGCGCAAGTGCACACGGTAACCAACACAAAATTTACTCAACCATCCAAGTTGCGGTGACTGGGCGTGACCTTCGGGCACTGTCCGAGGGGAGGGTTGATGGGGGGCTCCGCCTCCCCAACACCCCCTGCAAAACATTCTCTTCACCCCGGTATGCACGGCAAGATAGAGCTGAAACAGTTCAGAAAATTGCACTGCACTTTTCACACTTTCATTTAGGATGATTCCGTGAATCTGTAAAAACTTTGATTTCAGTTTTTTCCATTAAATTTCGATAAAAAGGTCAAGCACCGTAACATCGGTCATTGTCACTGAGAAGAATGAGGCAGGCCACCGGTGTAGCCAGAAATGTGCGTGTTAAGTATCAACTGTATTTGAGTAGTTTGGCAATTGAGGATATTTGAAACGTTAGTCGATAGTCGTGTGCATTTTTATGATATAGTCTATGGAATTAACTTGAATTTTATGAGAAATTAAAAGTCTCTGCTAAACTGCCGCCTCCTGAGTGGTCGTGAGGTAGTTGTGACGTTGGTGCGCAGGAGGACAGAAGACGGTGTGCGAGCTGCGCGGGAACTTGTTCTTCCGCGCCGAGCGAGTGGACTGGAGCTCCGAGTGGACATTATCTGTGAGCGATGCTTTCCGCGACCTTTTTCCTTTATGGCGTTACCATTCGCGTCTGCAGATTATTTCTTGTACCAACCACTATTACTTTTTGTCCTCTACAAGAATATCATCCTCAATTTGCCCTGACTTAGTGAGGGCATACCGTACAGAATTTCCATGACATGTAAGAAACCATTTCCTTTTAGTGATCTCTTTCGCTTTTATTAGACGAGGTATAAATTTCAAATCTGGTTCTCATGCTGGTCAGCCGCTTCGCCTGAGAGCGCCATGAAAACCGTAACCTTTATTTCTTCCTCCAACCGCACACGAGTGCTCCGTCCTCCTCGAGGGCAAAGGGCTGGTTTGTAGGAGCACGGAATTCGTTGCAAGCCATAGGGGGAAGGCAAAAAAGCAACACCGTGGGCTGTGGTGTTGAAAATAGGCGATGTAAAAACATGCAATATGACAGATATAAAAGATGTAGCTGAAGCGGTAACAATCATTTTTTCTTTTATTTTTTTTAGGTTTAACTTTCACGAACGCTGGCAAATAGGCTGTTAAATGCAGAAGATATCGTAGATATTGCAACTGCGGTATATGTTAAGATTCATACAGGCATCTTTCATAAGGTAAATGATATTTGGAAAGGTATCTGTCGCACTTGAAAAATTGTTATTTGACACAGATGTGAGAAAGCTCGAAAGGTAAAAACTGTATAGCAATTGATAATTGATGTCGGGAACAGCCTCCTCTTAAAAAAGTATGCTAAAGAGTAATTCATTAGCAATAATTATGGCAAGATTGACGGCGACGATAATTATTTACAGAATGTTAAGGACATTCAATTTTCCATAATTATCATTTCCTACTGGAAATGGAAAATAGCGACTCGTGCAACCTTTGGATAACGGGCAACTGACAGAGCTTTAATCCTTACCCGTGTGAATCAGTCGAAATATGTCACACTATTGCATTATTTGTGTGTTGCTAAGTTAAATATTGATCGTTGTACCAGCGGAATTTATCTATGGTGACAATAACATGGGCCTGGTCACTTGAAAGATATACCTTATTAAACCGCATACTTTTAGGACTAAGAGCAGAATATGGCTTTCAACGTACTTTTTCTGTACTCTACCTCTGAAGTAAATCATTACCTAAAACCGTGTCACACACGGACAAAGAAATGATTCCATTCCTACTTTTA